TGTTTGGTTGTGTTTAGGAAACTTCTTAGCTTTTGGTTTAGTCCAGTTGCACTGACTTCCCCTGTAGTGTATGTTGTCCTTCCCTTCACCTAAGATAATTCTTGTCTACTATCTAGTTAGTTAATTCCCCTCTCTCTCCCTCCCCTCCCTTGTAACCATCAAAGAATGTTTTCTTCTGTGTTTAAAGCTTTTCTTGAGTTCTTATAATAGTGGTCTCATACAATATTTGTTCTTTTACGACTGACTTATTTCACTCAGCATAATGCCTTCCAGATTCATCCATGTTGTGAGATGCTTCTCAGATTCATCATTGTTCTTTATCATTGTGTAGTATTCCATTGTATGAATATACCATAATTTGTTTATCCATTCATCTGTTGATGGGCACCTAAGCTGTTTCTATCTTTTTGCTATTGTGAACAATGCTGTAATGAACATGGGTGTGCATATATCTATTCATGTGACAGCTCTTATTTCTCTAGGATATATTCCAAGGAGTGGGATTGCTCGATCATATGGTACTTCTATTTCTAGCTTTTTAAGGAAGCGCCAAATTGATTTCCAAAGTGGTTGTACCATTTTACCTTCCTACCAGCAGTGTAGAAGTGTTCAAGTCTCTCCAGAACCTCTCCAGTATTTATTAGTGTGTTTTGGATTAATGCTAGCCTTATTGGGGTGAGATGGTATCTCACTGTAGTTTTGATTCGTATATCTCTAATGGCTAATGATCGTGAGCATTTCCTCATGTATCTATCAGCAGCCTGAATGTCTTCTTTGGCGATGTGCCTGTTCATATCCTTTGCCCATTTTTTAATTTGGTTATTTGTCTTTTTGTTGTTGAGGTTTTGCAGTATCTTGTAGATTTTAGAGATAGACCCTGATTGGGTATGTCATAGCCAAAAATTTTTCCCAGTCTGCAGGTTGTCGTTTTACTCTTTTGGTGAAGTCTTTTAATGAGCATAGGTGTTTGATTTTTACAAGCTCCCAGTTATCTAGTTTCTCTTCTGGTGTTTGTGCATTGTTACTTATGTTTTGTATTCTGCTTATGTCATGTTTTAGGGCTCCTAGCCCTTTTGGCTTTCTAACTCCAGATCTTTGCACATTTCAATACAATACTTTACTTTATCTTCTCAAGCCACCCTTTGAGATCTTCTGTTCAGCTCTTTTACTTCATCATTTCTTCAGTTCACTTTAGCTAGCTGATGTTCATGAGCAAGTTTGAGTCTCTTTTGACATTCATTTTGGTCTTTTCTTTCTTTCCTATCTTTCTAATGAACTCTTGTTTCTTCATGTATGATGTCCTTGATGTCATTCCACAACTCATCTGGTGTTTGGTCATTACTGTTCAATGCATCTATTGAGATGGTCTCTAAATTCAGGTGGATATAATCAAGGTCCTACTTTGGTTCTTGTGAAGTTGTTCTAATTTTCTTCAGCTTCAACTGGAACTTGCATATGACCAATTGATGGTCTGTTCCACAGCTGGCCCCTGGCCTTGATCTGACTGATGATATTGAGCTTTTCTATCATCTCTTTCCACATATGTAGTTGATTTGATTCCTGTGTATTTCATCTGCCGAGGCCCAAGTATATAGTTGCTGTTTATGTTGTCTGTCGTACTGCGGAGGCTTGTGTGTTACTGCAATGCCAGAAGCAATGCTACCAGTATTCAAATACCAGTAGGTCCACCGAGGGTGGACAGATTTCATTTGAGGTTCCAGACTAAGACAGATTAGGAAGAAGGACCCGGTGGTCTATTTCTGAAAAAAACTAGCCAGTGAAAACCTTATAAATACCAGCAGAACATTGATACAGTGCCAGAGCGTGAGCCTCTCAGATTGGAAGGCACTCAAAATACGATTGGGGATCTCCAGCGTCATTTCTATCACCAAGGTCATATTTTCCAACTACTGATCATTCTTCTTTGTTTCCAACTTTTGCATTCCAATCACCAGTAATTATCAATGTATCTTGATTGCATGTTTGATCAACTTCAGACTGCAGAAGCTGGTAAAAGTCTTCAATTTCTTCATCTTTGGCCTTTGTGGTTGGTGGGTAAAACTGAATAACAGTCGTATTAACTGGATTTTCCTTGTAGGCATATGGATATTATCCTATCACTGACAGTGTTATGCTTCAAGATAGATCTTGAAATGTTGTTTTTGACGATGAATGCAACACCATTCATCTTCAATTTGTCTTTCCTGGCGTAGTAGACCATATGATTGTGCAATTCAAAATGGCCAATACCAATCCACTTCAGCTCACTAATGCCTAGGATATCAATCTTTATGTATTCCATTTCATCTTTGAGGATTACCAATTTTCCTAGATTCATACTTTGTACATTCCATGTTCTAATTATTAATGGACTTTTGCAACTGTTTCTTCTCATTTTGAGTCGTGCCACATCAGCAAATGAAGATCCCGAAAGCTTGACTCCATCCATGTCATTAAAGTTCACCCTACTTTGAGGAGGCAGCTCTTCCCCTAGTCGTATTTTGAGTCCCTTGCAACCTGAGGGGCTCATCTTCTGGCACTGTATTTTAAGCAGCTGAAATTAATAGCTTTAAACAGTATATTATTATTTCTCTCAAAAACAAACATCGTTTGGGTAGCAATACCTATTTAAGTGGCCAGTAATAAATAGGAAGTCAATGAAAGCAAGAAATGCCAAATAATAATGTGCAACCACACTCTATTAAAAAAATAGGTAGCTACCTTCTGGCTACTCAAGTAAGTACCACATAAAAGTGAAACTTCGTGTAAAATAAAAGCATATATAAAAAAGTACAGCTGGAGTCCAGGAAGTCCATGGAGAGTTTATGTGCTTATTCAAGGAGAAATATTATGTCGTAATGGTTATTTATAACATTCAAGTGATGTCAGCATCCACGTTTCACAATTTAGAGTTTAATTTCACATGTCAGGTACGCATGCAATTAGGGACAGACACTTAGAAAAACCAGTTGTGAAAGATGGGACAACACACAACACATAGTTGTCAGATGAATAAATAATTTGTCAAAGTTAATGAGGTATTTCAAAACCAGAACTCCTACTGAGCAAGGTAAATTTCATAAAAGGGACCAAATGACTTGCATATGAAGTGCAAGGAAAGGACACACGGCACTTAGTAAAATCATTGTATGGCCAGAAAGGAATTATGGCTTTCAAAAATATCAGTCCTTTAAGAAGAACTGTAAATATACACATCCCAGGTACAAAATTGATTATGTGTATGAACCACCACTGTCTCAGGGGGGCTCCAGGAGCTCTCCTGCCTCAAGTTCTGCTACATCTTCTAGTGGATTTGATCACTCAGTGTCTCTATCCCTTACCCACAGGCAGCGTCCCAGACTCCCATGTCCTACTGAAGGATCTACCCAGCATATTGCCCTAGCATTGGATTTCAAATAATCTTTTTTAGCAGCAGAACCCTTTGAGTAAAACCTTAACAACAAATCCAGTAGAGACAGATAAAAGTAGAGCTGGTGTGTGTGTGTGGGGGGGACTATTTGTGTGTGCGCATGTGTGTGTGTTGGGGGTCAAAGGGCACTGATTTGGTTCCTATTCCTCAGCTTCGAGGAATCTTCTGATCACAGTCTAGAGGCCATTACAACAGTAACAACAACAACAGAGGACCTGGTAAAGGTCATGCCCAGAGTTTAAAAGGATACTAATCCTGGAAAAGATTCTGAGGCACCTAGAGAAGCAATGGACTTGGAGAGGGCCATTCAGGTGTAGACTACTGGGTAGCTAGCTACAGGTTGCTGTAGAGTTTCACAGTAAAAAAACACGTTAAAACTTTAGATGTTCCTGTATATCGGTGTCACCCTGCTGGACTGAGTTAGCTAGCAATCAGGATATCTTACTTAAATTTCCTGCTCCTTTCTCTACCTTCTTTGGAATCTGAAGTCATAATAGTAAAGATAAAAAAGAAAAAGGAAAAGAATTACAAGCATCAAGCAAGGTAGTTTACTGTGTTTTTCTGTCTCAATTTTATGAAAAGGGATTATATATTAATAAAATCATTTACTGTTTTTAGTGACAAAATTCAACTGGCTAGTTTTTAGGAGCAGGCTCACTGTAGCTTCTAGAAAATAACTTTTAAAACCTTAATTTTAAGGAGGACAATTTAAAATTTGAAGCTACTTTTACATGATCTGCTAGGTTTAAGTATTATTGAATAAACAATGATCGATACTGCCAAAATCAATAATCATTTTATAATTTTCTTAATAAATAATACATTAAGGGATAATATAGTATACAATATTATGTTTTCCTAGAAAATGAAATACAATTTACATTTTTACTGTGTTTATTTAACCTAGAGATAAATTATTTAGCTTCAAATATACTTGAAAGATACACATATAATAAAAGTTATTTTAATTTTGAGTTGAGCATCACAATCCTGTAAGCAAAAGAAATAAAGTGCTTATTATCTAGTGATTTAAGCAAAAAGATACCTGGTGATTTAGAGGGAAATCTAGGCAGATAATTCAAATAAAGTTAAAAGAAACTGACCGTTTCCCTGGCCTCTTGATCTCTCTGGTTTCAAACAAGTTAATAACTTTTAATTTCTCTGGTCTATCAGACACATCGGTAATAAAACTATAATACCAATCTATTTTCACTGTTTTAATTTTATTACTTTTAGTTGATCAGCTTAATCAGGTCTAACTTTATTCACTGTTAATTTATATAGCTTATTAAATATGATTTCCAGATAATTAAAATTGGTGACTAGTCTGAAAACTTTTTATTTGAACAGTTTAATATATAGGCCCGAACAATGACATTTGATAATATTTTTCCAATAAATACATATTTGACTTGTTGTCCTGAAATCTAAGACTTGAAACAGTAGATAAAAGCATAATGATCATATCATAAGCTCTACACATATTGCACAAACTATTCAATTATAAAAATCATGTTGAAACAATTAAACCTCAAAAGCCAAGTAAATGCCAAACACACCCCTGACTTACCAAGCAAGTCATTCTGTGGTAACCATTCTATGAGCTTAGTGTTGTTTCCCAGATTCTTTGGTTTGGTTCCAGAAAACCTAAAATGCACACCAGACAATAAAGTTTTCAAAAATCAAATCTTATGCATGGTATAGATGTCCTGTTTAAATTACTAGATTTAAAATAAAATATGATCTTTTGTTAGTCTTCTTAAGAATGAAACCATGCTTTAGAAGCAACAAAAATTTGATTGTTTCATTTTCATACTTCAATTGATTGAAGGCTGAACAAGAAATAATTTGCTTGTGTTAACATCTATTTTCTATCAGCTCCTTTTACCTGTACGTAGAGACAGAGAACACACAACCAAATAAACCTATGGTAGAAAGTCCTTCCCCAATAATACCCAGAAACTAGAATGCAAAGGGACAAGAAGGACCATCACTGGGCAGTCAAAAGCTCCAATCCTTGACATGCAAAGCCTAAGAGATGGTGTGATTATAGAAATAAAGAGATGGCACTCTTGTCCCACCTGGCCCAGAGAATGTGGGGCCAAGAACATAATTAGGCTGTTCCTTGTCTTAAAAGATAAACTATTGGGACCTGCAGGCTAAACAAAGGGAGAATAAGAGAGTCTAAATTGAGCAGACACAAACTGTCCTAAATAAAGCTGAAGGGGTGCTTTCTTGGTTCAGCCTAACAGAGAAAATCCAGTAAGACTCGAATACAAAGGGGAGAGTTTTGAAAGGTTAGAATGAAATATACATCCACTTTATAGCTTAAGTAGGAGGGGGGGAGGCAATCCTTACACAGTTGTCATAAAAGAAAACCCACATTACTCTGGGCCTACTTGTAATGGAAGTTCCCCTAGGTAGTGCAAACAGTTTGTGCTCAATTGCTAACCTAAAAGTTGGTGGTTGGAACCCACCCTCTGGTACAGAGGAAGAAAAGGCCTGGTAATCTGCTTCCAATAAGATTACAGTTAAGAAAAACCCTACGGAGCATTTCGACTCTGTAACACATGGGATAGGCATGAGCCGGAATTGACTCTATGGCAACTAACAACAGCAACACTTGTAATAGCTTCAGAGACACTTTTTTTCTAATTATGGTAGAAACCGTGGGACTGCTATTGTTCATTGCTATATCCCTAGAACCCAACAATGGGGAGATAAACTAAAGAAAATATGTTAAGTGATTAGGCCCAACTACTAAACATTGGGATAGAAATTCCAGAGACAGACACACTTTGGCAGTGTCTCCCAAAGGAAGCTGGGGTCAGTCTATGAGTTTGTTTTAACTGGAGTTAGCTGGTTAAGTTATTGTGTTTTTAAAGAGTTGGTCTCTTAAATAAAAGAAACCAAAAGCTTTGTCAGTGAGGCAAAGTTGGAGCCCAAAGAGGTCCATGAAAGAGTTCATCTAATTACTTATCCCTTTATCATTCTCTACCTCATTCCAAAACTAATTTGAAGCAATATATTGAAATGCATACAATTACAACTAAATTTTAAAATGTAGTAATAAATAATAGAAAGGTAAATGAGGGCAGAAATCCAATGGTAACATAAAAACGCATCTCACACAAGGATAAATCGTTCCTAATCCTATCTTCTTTCTATACTTTATCCATCATAGACTCTTATAAATTTATCCCTAGATTCCAATACACTAAGAAACAAAATGAAAAGTCTGGGAATCAACGTGCGGTGCTTTATTGGGACCTGCAGGCTAAACAAAGGGGTGCTGAAAATCAACAGCACAGGAACATTCTATATTATTACCTTACCTCCAAATCACTTTTTGAGGCAATCTTGCCAGAGCTCCTGCCAGTTTGTTAGCAATGTCTTCTGACAAATACTTGACACCAGCTCCAAAAGACACCAAGACAAAGCCATGTTCGTTAGCACCATTTACCCACTTTTGCAGATCCTGTCAATCAAAATATGGCAGTTAATTTTATGAAAGACCAATATCATTCATAATCAGTGTTATCAACAACCCAGTTTAAAAATAAAAAAAGGTTTCAGGTACTTTTCTTAAATGATAGAAAGTACAGAATATGATTATTTTCCTTTAAAAAACTGCTTTTGTTTTGAAAATTCAGAATATATCATCTGACAAAGCTAAGTGAAAGAGGGCAAATAGCTAATTTGGCAAGATCAGTAAGTAATAATAACAAAAAATTCAGTAACTAATGACTCAAGATCTCAGACAGAAGTCAAAAAATTGAAACTGATGGTCGACACATACATGAGCAGAAGTAAATCTGTATGAGGATACAATTTACATATGGATTGAACACATGCCAAAAAAAAAAAAACTCTCCTCCTCCAAGGCAAATGTTTATTTTAGGAATGGGTTAATTGAGTCCCTGGATGGTGCCAATGGTTAACAAGCTAGGCTGTTAACCAAAAGCCTGGCATTTTGAGTTCACCCAGCGGCACCCTGAAGAAAAGGCTTGGTGATCTACTTCTGAAAAATCAGTCACTAAGAAACTCTATGAGCACAGTTCTACTCTGACACACATGAGATCAGAATCAACTCAAGGACTAAGCTTAATAATTTTCATCTCTGAAGAGTCAGACTATAGTATACGACTGAGAAAGAGAAGAAATTAGCAGTTGCAAGGATCCACAGGCCTAATGAGTTTTACTATTTCTGTACATTATTTCTCAAACATATAGAACAGAAATCATACATGCTGTATGGTAAGACATCCAGGGGTTCTGAGAATCTCTCAGAGGTCATTCTCCCTCATTGTGTGGAAACACGTTAAATTTTCAGACATGTCTTTATACAACCAATAGATATTGTGCTATAGCAGATCTAATTTTAAGTAGGGACGACTCTAAAATTGCTGGAATTATTTATTTTTGTAGGAAGATGCACTAGCAAATTTCTGTCAGAATGGCTGATTTGTATTGAAAATAAAAGCAGTTCATTTTAAGTGCTACCACCCTCACTTTATTCTGTGAGCACAAGTTTGTTTCTCTGGTAAGTCATCCCTTTGAGTAAGTCTGTGCCTGAGCCACCCTGCTTCCGTTTCCCACATGAAAACTAACAAAGGCATGACACTTCGCAGAATATGTAATTCCATCATAAAGAAAACAAACTTGCTGTACATCGACAATACCTATGCCATAATGTAGTCATGAAAACAGGTGACAGGATTCATTCTGTATTCACAATGTGCAGAATGGGAAGTCACAGTTACAGGTCACACATGCTGTGGATCTCTCCTTCAGGATGAGTTACTGCCATGAGTGTTACCCATGCTCTTTGCATTTCACACTGCACAGTGGTTAAGAGCTCGGCTGCTAATCAAAAGGTCGGCAGTTCGAATCCACCAGGTGCTCCTTGGAATCCCTATGGGGTAGTTCTACTCTCTGTCCTGTAGGGTCACTATGAGTCAGAATCGACTTGACAGCAATGGGTTGGTTTGTTTTTGGTTTTTTAGAGAAACCTGCTTTGCAGCCTGGGAGTACTGAATTTCATCACAATGGCATCTCCATATAGCTCAATACTAAGGAATTAAAGTTTAGGCCTCTCTTATGTCTTTAATTTTCTTTCTTTCCTTTTTATCACTTAATGAGGTCTGACATTAACTGACTCTATCCTACCTCATTTTGTGCCCAAAATGACTTAGTGAATACTACGACTCTAAGACCGAGAGTGATGACGAAAAGGAGGCACACCCTTCTAGCTATTGAGTGAGTAAGGCAGGCTGCAATTATTTGGGAGGGAAGGAAACTTATATTCCTTACAGAAAAATAAACACCTATTTTCCAGGAAACTCTATTTGCTTACGAGTATATAAAAGAAACAGACGCTATATCAACTTTCCATTAATGCTTTTGATTTATATTCTGCCATCTTTACATAGAATATCACATGTGCAGGAAAATTTAAAAGGTTTTATCTGTGGATTAAAAATAAGAAACAAGTCAAACTGATTTTAAACTCTAATTTTAAACTAATTTTAATGCCAGATGTACTTAAAACAAATATAAATGGTGCACAGAAAAATGAGTTGAGTATAAGCTGTTTTAACATCATGGTTTATCTTCAAATAATTTATCACCTATTACTCAGTTCTCTAAAGATGAAGCTTTCAGGGTCAATGCCATTTTCAAAAAGTTCACATTCAGATACAGTAGGTCTTAATGTGATTTAGATTTTGTTTTGTTGTTGCTGTTAGGCGCTGTCGAGTAGGTTCTAAATCATAGCGACCCTATGTACCACAGAAGGAAACACTGCCTGGTCCAGATTTTGTTTTACAAGGATTTAAAGGGTTTTTGAGTTTCAACTGTCTCTATGTCATAAACATGTCTCCAGTTGTGTGTTCTTTGTTCAGTATGATATAAAATGAAATCTGAAACCTATTATTTCCAGCTTTTTCCCTAACATTGGCATTCACTATAACAAGAATATAACTGATGTGAAACGAAGTGCAGACGATTTTATTCATATGATTCGCTTCAGGAAAAGTACTCAATTTTTTAAAAGGTAAAACTCTACTTGGCTCAGGAGGGAGACTGAGATCCCAAGATGATACCCAAACTGCTACTTCCTGAGCTAGAGGCTGCTGTAAGAGGGAAGTGAAACGGCAGAGTAGAGATAGTAAGATGGTGGGTTCTTGGCTGCTCCAGGACCTGCCCCTTCCCAAGATCTCTAATCCTCAGCCTAAATTCACAAAATAGTATTAGCTGATTTTTTATGGGAACAGTGAAGGCTTTGAGTTTTGTGTGTGGTCGACAAGGGGACAATCAGGTAATAGAGTCCAAAGGGATCTTGAATTCGCTGAACTCATGGCAAATATTTTGGAATTAGAACTTCACAAGAAGTATGCGTAGATATCCAGAGGGCTGGGAGGCCCCAGGTGGCATCTTTCCTACATATATATTTACACGTGCAGTATTTTCTGAAATTTAAGATCCCATCAATTATAAAGTGAAAATTGACTTAATCACAGTTCTTCAAAAAAAAAAAAAACTTTATAATAAATGTGTCCAATGTAAAATAATACCAATTCCAGAAATCTAACACTATTAAAAGTAAGGATGCTTTAGAATTCCTCCTCACCACCTGTGAAAATATTAATTAAAAAACTGGATCAGGAAAAAAACAAACAAACACACATTTACAAAACCAACAACATTCATAAATACCTAAGAATAAGCCTAACAAAAAAACGTTCAAGACCTACATGATAAAAGCTTTACTGACACAGAAAAACCTGAATAAATCGAGAGATCTAAGATGTGCTTCAATAGGAAATATCAGTGTTATGAAGATGCTAATTATTTACGAATTAACCTAAAATTCAATGCATCGCCAACCTACATTGCAAGAGATTTGTTACAGAACTTGAAAAGCTCACTCTTAAAGTTCATCTGGAAAGGAAAATGTACAACAAAGGCCAAGAAAATTTTGAGAAAGAACAGCAAGAGACAACTAGCTCCTTTAGATATTAAAACATACTCTAAAGGGTAGAACCAATAACCCAGTAACTGATTTCAACTCAGGTATATCAGAATAGAACTGTGCTCCATGGGGTTTTCAACAGCTGATCTTTTGAAAGGAGATCACTAGGCCTTTCTTCCAAGGTACCTCTGGGTGGACTTGAATCTCCAACCTTTTACTCAGCAGCAGAGCCACTGCAATTAAAAGTATTTAGTATTACCAAAAGGTTAGGTGCTCAATGCTAACCAAAAGTTGGAGTTCGAATCCACTCAACAGCTCTGTGGGGGCAGATTACAGCCAACAAAACTCTATGGGGCAGTTCTACTCTGTTGCATGAGGTTACTATGAGTTGAAATCAACTGCAAGGCACCTAACAACAACAATAGTACTACCATAAGAAGAGAGAAAGCAATGAAGCGGAGGAAGGATCTAGAGACAAACTGCTGTGCAGGTGGGAACTTAGCATTTCTCATTAGCAGGGAAAGGAGTCATTCAAATACTGATTTAGGGAGAAAAAAACACAGGAAGTTAGATCCCTCCACTAGTATAAATGACAGAAGGATTAAAAAGTTAATTGAATTAAAATATTTGAACTCCTTGAAGAAAACCCAGGAGAATAATTTTCTATCAGGTTGGGAATGGCCTTCTAAGTGACACAGCCCAGAAGTCATAAAGGAAAGACTGACTAATCTGACTACAGAATAATCAAACTTCTCAAGAGCATGACAGAAACTGAAAAAGGCAAAACAACAATAGGCTGGAAAAATTAATATCTGAAATAAAGCAATGAGGAAAAAAAAAATCTTGAGAAAATACCCAATTTACAGAAGGAAACCCAATGGTATAATTATGGAAAAGGTGCTCTCCTCACAGGTAACCAGAGAACACAAAATCATTTCCATTGTTTTCTCTGTAATCTACATATGACTCTATTACATGATATCAATACATTACCACTTAATTAATTTTAACAGAGAAGAGAATTAAATCTAGTTTTTACATTCTAAATATTACTGTTTTATAATTTTCTTTCAACTTTTTTTTTTCCCTAGAAGGACAAAGTGTCTTTTCCTAAATGGACTCTGGGTAAGCCCTCCTTACTTCAAGATTATGTATTAAATGGCCTATACTTTCATTTAGTAGTTTTATAGCTTTACTTCTTTAATGTTTAACCTTTCATTATCCAGAATTTATTTTGGAGGGAGGGAGGAGGCTGATATCCAGCTTTACTTTTAACCAAATGTCTAGCCAGCTCTCCCAACACAATTTGTTGAATATTCCATCCTCTCTTCACTGATTTGAAGTGGTATCCTCTCAGCTGATTTCTGAATTCTATTCTGTTCCACTGATAGATCTATCCATTCTTGTACCAGTGCCAAAGAATTTTATTTACTGCTGTTTTATAATACATTTTAATACATACAGGATTCAATTTTTCTCATTACTTTTCATTCTGGAAATTTTAG